CACACACACACACACACACTTAGTGAAACATGAACACACACTCTCACACTCTCAAGGTCGCTGGCTCAGGGGTGAGCAGGTGTGATTCTCCTGCAGGTGCTTCACTCTCTTTCACAGCCGAGTTGACAACAAGAGCACGCTGAGTGTTTGTCCTCTCACATGTAAACTGTGTCACACAAACACGATGCATGATTCAAGCACAGTTTCAGCTCCACCTGTTTCTAACTTCTCTTTGTCTTCTGCCCATCACCGGGTTGTGGTTGTATCACAGAATCAATGTCAGGTGGATCGTTACTGCTCTGTCTTTCTTGTTTAGTCCAAACCTCTGGACTTGTGTGAAGTGGATCAACAGACCAAAATGTAGTCCGACCAAAAGCGGTGATCTCGGTCTGGGAGCATAGTTCGATACATTTTTGGGATAATTCAGACTTTCAACTCGATAGAAGAAGATAAAAGAGGAGGAAGAGGAGGATTGTTTGCAGCCTGACGATGAGGACGAATTAACAAATGACGCCTACAAACCAATCAATGTCAAGTACAGGTAGACACAGCCCACGACGACAGGAAGTACACGTGTCATACAACAGTCTTTAGTGCGCTACCTGAACTACAATGTGAAACCAAAACTAAGGAGTTCATCTTCCATATGACTCGTTTGTGTCGTGTTTTATCCTTAAATAAATAAATGAGATGAAAACACTCCACTGATGACAGACTTGTGAACTGAACAATATAGAAGTGATACCAGAGCAAACCCCTGAGACACGGCTCCACTAGGTTCAGTCAGACGACAGCAGCTTGAAGTATTTTTGATGTGAAATAGTCTTTTTTTTTTTTTTTAAATCAATTCAGACAATTTCAATGTTTCAAATGTGCCACCAAAGACTACAAGCCACACAATGCACCGGGGCACGGCTCTACCTTTGACCTCTTGTTCAAACAAAGCGGAAGGTCACTCCTCCTGTCAGTGCTGCAGTCAACGCCTCGCCTGGAGAACAAACAGGGGTTTGTTCTCCATCCGTCCCCCTCCCTGCTGTCTCGCACGCCCCCACAGCACTAGGGGGGGCCAGAGGAGATGTGTGTGGCGCTGCCTTGTCTCCGGTGGCACTGTAAAAACCTTGCGTAGCCCTCCTCCCTCTCTGCCTCCAGCAAACCTCAGTTCTAACAGTGGAGCTCTGACACCGCAAGGATTCACCGTCACACGTTTGTCTCTGGGTTTTGATCCTCGACCTGCAGTTTAAGACATTTTCAGACAGCCCACGCAGCCCGGAGCTCTTTGTGAAGCGGTCGCCTGCTTCCCCGGCTGGCCCAGGGTTCAGCTAATCCCCCATGCGTGAGGCAAATACCATCTGTGTTTGTTCGGCAACAAAGGGGGCACTTGTTAATGACTTTCCTTGTCTTCACTGGAGTACTGCCGAGGGGGGGGGGCGAAACAGGGAAGTAGGCAGTGGAAAAGGCGAGTCAGGCAAATTAAAAACCACAAAATAGGATCAATAACTGTCCTGAGCTCTCGACCTGGGACACACAGCGAGGACAGGGGACAAATCACTGAACCAGTTTCCCATCAGCGAGTCTCTTTAGACGCTTTGTTTCCACACAAACAGGTTCGAGCTGAGAGATTAATCATTATTCAAACTGTCCATCAGTGTGTCATTGTTTCATCCAACCAGGAAGTGTTTGTGAATTCTACAACAAACCGTGATTTACTCCAGTTAGTGTTTCAAACATCCGGAGGTCTGATAATGACGCAGCTGTTGATGTGAAGCCGCAAAACACGGAGACACTGTAACAGGTTCACAGAAAGACTGCAGATTAGAGGAGGAGGAACACAAACCGCTGCAGATAATGTTGTTTGCCTTGATTTCGCGCCGCACGCTGCTCACGCCGACGACACATTTCTGCTTCTTTTGAGTGAATTGTGATTTGAAACAATGCAGGGCTGCACACTGAGCATGTTTTGCAAGCTTTGGATTGAACTCTGACCCCCGGGATAATCCCTTTCACTACCTCCGCTTTTAAATTAGCCGTGTGACACGCCAGCCCTCATAGCTCATCCGCTCGCTGTTTGCTTGTTAGCCCTTAGCCTGACTCCACTCCAGAGATTCCTTTACAATCCAATATCCAGCCGGGTTTTTACACATCAATTACACATTCAACTTGGAAGGAATTTCTTAAACCGTAAGGAGATTATGTTTCAAAATACTGGCGAGAAAAAAAAAATGAAATTAGGTCAATGAACCGGTTTTTACTGAATGTTTGAAGCAATTATGTTTTAAGACCAATCCCATGATTATATCTGACTCCCTCCCCTCCCCCTCCTCTTCCTCTCACTCAGGCCCATCTGCAACAGCAACTTTGCTTGGCAGAGCAAATTTAGGCAACGAGCGAAAACCAACAATCCACGCTGGTGCTGGCCCTTTTTTTCCAGCCCGCTCAACTGTTAACTGTGTTCTTTGCCCTGCCATGCAAATGCAAGTGGATCAAAGCAGGCATGATAGGACGACGCCTATACGGGGCCTCTTCCCAAAACCAACAGCAGCTCCTACAATGCGAAGGGGTTTCCATGGTCTTCCTCTTTTTGTGGGAGAGAAAAAAAAAATCATGACTATGTCGTTTTCTACAACTTTGCCCCCCCCACCCTGGAAATCTGTTGAAGTCATTACTCAACCCAGTGACACGGCTGTTTTAGTCGAATCGAGACTGACAAAAGGCTGCATCCATACCACAGTGATCACGTTGGTCCAGGTCAAATCCATCACTGCAGGCGGTTGATTACCAAAACTGTATTCAAGGCTTCTGTATGATGGTCCCAGAAACACAAACAGTGTCATCGTACACTAGTGGAAACTCTGTCTTAGTTTACAAATTCAGTTTTTACCCAGTCTCTGTATGGAGAACCGGAGGAGATGGCAGGGCACGCTTGGTTTGGCTCAGTTTGGTTTGATTCGGTTTGATTGGGCTGCTGAGCTTCCTGTGGCCATTCTGACATGAAATCAATGAAGACGAAGAAATCCATACAGACTGGGTTTATTCCACCGCGTGTTCCAGATGTTTGACGCACTCACTTTTTTGAACTGTTCAGACTTAGTGGACTGAGCCAGCTCTCCTGATCTGTCCAACTAGAACTAGTTTTCAGTTGAGTTAGAGGCATGTGGCTCTAAAGGGCCCAGACCACCCAGGCCAGATCTCAGCACGTCAAGTGCTCAGACCTGTCCACTTACAACTCGATCACCCAAGAAACGTGTCAATACCAGGTATGAACGAGGCCTAAAACACAGAAAGGACAGAGCGAAGCATGTCTCAACCACCATCAAGAATGACCTGAATGTACAGCGCAGCGTGTGTGTGTGTGTGTGTGTTTGTGTGGGCCCTTCCCTCGGGCATCAGTCTATATTGACGACTGGAATGCTTTTACTACAGACGGCAGAGTCACACACACACTCTCAGACGTGCGCATGTGCTGACCTATCAGCAGCCGACTCACTGGTTCAGACACGTTCACTGGAGCAAAGACAGGATCAATACTAAATCCAGACTCTGCATTAATGTACGTGAGCTTCTTGTGTGAGTTTCACCCACTAATTGTGTTTTGAAATCCTCCTTATTTATATTCTCTTTTTCTCTTTATGTTTTTGTTAATTTTTTTAAATATTTTGATTGATTAGAATCTTTAACAATCATTTAGGTCATTTTTAAGTTTCCCTGGTTTCAGCTTTTGTTGCTTTTCTTTGGTCTTTGGTGGGAAAGTTCATATTTTTTTTTATTTTTCAGGACACAAAGAAAATTATCTGGAGACGCCAACTTGGTCCCTCAGAGACTTCGATGGGTTTTGTTCCAGAAGATCAAATTATTCATCTAGAAAATAATCGATCATGGAGAAATCATTGGCCGCAGCTCTGTCAGAGTCAGTTTCATGGGAAAGCTGAGTTTGTTGTATTATGTAAAATCCCAATGGGAAAGATGATATATTGCAAACTGAGACCAGAAAGACACCGGAGCATGACGATCACATGCCTTTTTTAATCGTGTCATGTTTCTCTGTTGCAGCAGCTCAGTTTACCTGTGATGACGTTTATGTCAGGATACGTGTTTTCACACAGCTCCATGGCGTAGCTGTCCCTCTCGAACGCCTCACGAAGCTCCTTCTTCACCGCCGCGGATCCACACAGGCGGTAGAGACCAACCACCTGGACACACACACACACACACACACACAAGTAGGTCAAATAAACATGGATGGCTCTCGAGTCAAACAGTTGACGGAGGGGCAGACATCTTTACAGCCTCATCGATCACGATCTGCGTCAGAGCTCAAACAACGTGCTGGACAGGAGCCAAAACCACTTGCACAGAAAAACAAAAAACTCCAGTCGGCTGTCTCTCCACAGAATGACACCTTATTTGGATTAATGACTTTTTTTAAAAAATATAACCATCAAGCCTCACTCCTTCACAGGACACCCAGTGTGACACAGATCCAAGCTAACACAAGCCTCGAAATCCCTGTGGAGACTGACTCATGACTCAAAAGTCACAAATAAAAGAAGCCGGCATCATTGGCGACCAGCAGCAGCTCCCTGTCCGGTATCTTTTATTGCAAACCACTGAAACAAACTGGATAAAGTCAAAATTGTCTTGAATTGACTGACCACCAGCTGCCTCCTCTCAGCAGAGACAGACAGAAGTTTCAACATGTTCATTTGAATAAAACTCTTCCTGAACATAAAACCTGCAAAAATGAAATCTATACATCTGACCGTTACGAGATGATGATAAAAGCAGCACTGGTTAAAAAAAGACCCCGGATCAGTGAAGTGACACCGTCAGATATTAACCTCCACCAAGGAGGTTATAATATCAGCACCATCTGTCTGTCTGTCTGCAGGATTACTAAAAACCCACTGAAGCAATCGCCATGAAATTCTAACAATTTTGGAGCAGTTCAATTTTCTTTAACGCAGTGAGAGCTGAAACCCTGTTTCTCACTGAGGTGGTGAATGTGTTTTACTGCTTATGAATTCAACCTTTAAATGGAAAAAACAACAATTTTCTCATTTCATCTATCAAGAGTTATCGTCTCACGTTCAAAACTTTAAACTTTGTTCCAGAAAAAGCCGCCAGTGGCGTAATACTCAACACTTCTGAGGACACGGTTTCATCACTTGGCTCGTTTGAAAATGAAAACGTGCTCTGGGTCACACCAGGCTTTCGCTCTGAGGTGTAATAAAAGTGTCACGTCCTTATGACTGAAAAGATAAACAGTGCGCTGCTCTAAAAGCCGGGCAGACAGCTCCGCATTAAAAATGAAAACACTCGGCTATAAAACATTTATGTTTCTTCGCGCAGGAACTCCGGAGTGTGACCTGAAGGAACTCTGAAGCAATTTCCTCAAGACGTTGACATTTGATAGTTGAAACTCGGCACCAGTGGTCTCTTTGTTATGTTGGGATTAGGCCTGGCTACAGACATACCATAATTTCTCCTACATGTGTCTGTCTGGTATGTGGCATAGCAGACCAACTGGTGTGGTTGCCCCGGTAACGTGTTAAGTCAGTGGGCTGTGAATAGCGGGTTGAGAATCCAGAATCCACACAAACATACACTCACACACTCACACACGCCCTGCTGGCCTTTCCGGGCTCCAGCGTAGGAGCACGGCTAACGTCTCCCCGTCCCACCGGAGCAACTATTTGTGAGCTCTGCTCGTCCAGTCGAGCAGCGTTTTCTGAGCCTCACACGAGAGGCAGAGCGGAGGACAGATTAGGCCGGGATTTGGCTTTGTGTGAGAGTAAACACAAGTCACTGGGCACAATGAACAACAAGTCCATTCAGAAAAAAAAGAGAGCGTCCCTATGGGGGGAGAGCCCGAGTGCAGGCGAGGAACAGCTGTTAGCAAAAAGAGGGCTCGCACTCGTGCACCTCGGCTGCCGGGCAACACAACAAGCAGCACCGGCAGAGACCTGCATGTGGAGTGAGGCTGACACAATGACCACAAAACCAGGCCCCTCGAAGTGCAGGAGGCTCATTCAACTGAGCCCGTGATCAAATCGGCTTTTTAACTTTATTAAAACTAAATGAGAATAAAGGAAGGAAACAAAAGTGCATTTTGCTGCTTTAATCCCCGTCAACAAAGTCATTTACTCTCCATAAACATGAGTCACATTTCTATCAGGCACCGGCAGTAAAATCATTATCTGTTCTCACCTTGAAAACAATAACAAAACACCTTTTCTGGCACGACGCAACGAAAGGAATACAAACGCACGTACGTCCAAACACAAGCTTCTGGGAAGAGGCGACGAAAACCAGAAGACAAGAAATGGCGTGCAGACATTTCTCGTCTCCCGGTGCAAGGATTTCTCACATCTGTACACACACATACAGAGCAACAGGAGAGGAGACGTGTGCAGAGCCAAAGCTGGGCTACACCTGATCGTTATTACCATCATCTGATCAGCTTATTATTTTTTCAATTAATCTTTTCTTATGTTGTCTATAAATTATCAGAATATGTGAATTAAATGCAGATGTCATCTTCAAACATCTATTTATTTCCAAGTTCAAACACAAAATGAATAAAAACAGCCTTTTGTTTCTCTTTATATTTACAGATGTTGAGAGAGAAAACACAGATGTTTAATATCGCTGTCGACATGTTTGAAAAAAGCCCTTATTGAACATTTACGTTATGTAAACCCCCGAGAGTAGAAAATAATAACTACATTTATACATATTTGCATAAACAATATATATATCTTCTGTCAGGATTTTGGTTCTGTCTAAAATGATGCTGCTGTTTATCTGTTCATAACCGTGTTCCTCTTTCCCTGTCGTGCATGTAGGTTACTTCTCCTTTAATGGGCTCCCCAACAAAACTCCCGTCTCTGCAGTCCTTTCAAAACACCCACAATCCTCCTGCGTCATAAAAGCCAGAGGAAGCCCCGAGGACACGTAATTCTCCGAGACTCTGAAAGGGAGACTCCATTAAAGATCCACATAATCATTTGTGAAGCGCACGGCTACACGTCTGGCTGTTCGTGCTTCGGTGACACGACCCGAGCATTCTTCTGAGATCTGGTGTCAAACCCCGTCCTAACCCCTGCCTGCCAGAAACCTGGGGGGAGCACTTACACTTGATCTCTGACTGATACCCTGATACCCTCTGTGTAATTAAAGAAGGGGCGGGGGTGATTAGACGAAAAACACTGCGAGGGACACGAGACAAAAGTGTCAGACTGAATGGAGAGAAAAAACGGAGACAGAGACAAAAGAGGCAGATGAGGAGAGACAGAAACAGATGGGAGTCATAATATGAGCAGCACAGAGCGGAGCGAGTTAGAAACAGAGGAAACCTGAGAGAAGCGAGTGAGAGTGATGGAGTTTCAGTGAAGGCTTCAGCTCCAGCATGAGGAGGTCACAGAGGTGAACTTGACCGCAATACATCTCATACAGATTCCCCTCAGAGCGACAGTACCGACAACAGGACTTCTGGGAAGATCCAGCACGTGTATGCACACGATGCACTGGAGCACAAATATGACACAACACAACGTGAAGCGGTTTCACAACAGAGGGTCAACTTTTTGAAAAACCCTAAAAGCGAAAATTGAATATACATAAACCTTAAAGATCCCTTTTCTCAGTTTGGTTCTCACATTGAAGAATGAAAACTAAATGTGGTGTTGACATGTTTGGTTGATTTATCAAATTACTGCTGAACAGAAAATCAACTTTTTAATCATTAACTTTTGGTTCTTGAAGTGACTGAGGGCGGGGTCTAATTTGACAGACAGGCTGCTTTGGAGAGGTCTAATGTTTTGCCCTAGGCCCCCACTGCCCCTGGCATGTACCCCCCCCCCCATCAGTCAGGAGCAGTGTCCAGACACTTTTACTGCCGCTGTCTCAGATCTAATTAGGACGGAACGCCACTGCCTCTTTTTCTTATGTTCTTCAAAGAGGACATAAAGCACAGAAGGGGGGGCGGGGGAGTGGACGATCACATGATTTACTCCCACATCGCCACAACAACAGTCTGTCAATCCGGAGTCTTTCTCCTCTTTGGATAAAAGAGCGAGTTGCCCTCAGGAGAGCTCAGTGACATCACCATGCAGCGGAGCTCGTACCTAACGTCTCCTGTATCTTTTCTGCTCATGCCGGTCGCCCGGCGTCGTTACTGGCTGCAGGGTGAACACACACAACACAAAGCTGAAAGGATGCTCTGGATGTAGGATTACTTCTCTCTGCTTTTCTTTCACTCTCATGCAAAAATGCATTATAGAAAATGTCCCGCAGCCTTTTCTTCAAATTAATCCACTTCTATTTTTTATTTACACAACAGGATTAGAGTGGTTTTCATCCATACTTTCCATAAAATAAAATTGGTTCAGTGGATTTTGCGTAATCCTGCTCACAACAAACAAACAATGAAAACATAACCCCCTTGGTGGAGGTGATAAAAGCTGCAGCGTTAATCAGATTCACCCGGTTGACTTGTTAGTTGCAGGAGAGGTGAAACACATTGAACTCACCTGGCAGCCTCTCTTCTCTATCTCGTTGATGCACTTGTTTATCAGCAGCGGTACCATCAGTCCCGTGTTCTCCCTCTCCACCACCCGCCACACCTCCACTCCAAACACCTGGGGCTCCCTGTCTCCACCCAGCCGTCCGTCCAGCGAGTTCTGCCACTGCTCCATCAGGCTCAGCTTGACGTAGATCAGCCCCCGTGGCTCCAGCTTCACCGCCAGCTGGTGGGACCGCGTCACCCGGAAGAGCGCGGGCAGCACCACCGTGCCGTGGCAGCAGACGCGGTTTCGTCTCGGCGTGGGCTCCCAGCTGAAAACCACCAGCTTCAGGTGCTGGGCGTTCTCCAGCTCAATGTTGAACGTGTGGTCCATATCCAGGAAGGAAGTGCGACACGTGAGGAGAGCGGTTCGGGCTTTGTTGACCGAGTCCACTTGGATGGCGCAGTAGACGTCTCGAGAGTCGATGCGTGGAGGTTTGAGGTCCTCGGCACCGTAAAAGTGCAGACTCATGAGTCCAGAGATGTATTGGCTGCACTTGGGCTGCTCTGTGAAGCTGTAATGTCTGAAAGCATCGATGTCCAGCTCGGTGCCGTTGAGTTTCGAGCTTCCGCCTCCTTCCACCTCCTTGCCTTTCCCTCCCTTCCCCTCCGAGGTGCTGTGCTTCCCAGATTTGGCCACCAGCTCCGGTGAGTCACCATCACTGAGGTAACCACCTTTACTGGCGGACTTCGAGCTGCCGTTGCTTTTCTTCTTGCTGAAGCTGTGCTGCATGGACACACTGCTGTCCAGGTGGTAGCGCGAAATCACGTTACGGCTAGCCTGCCCACCGCCAGACGCCGCCAACCGCGGAGGGCCTGAAGTTTGGGAGACAGCCTCTGAGTTGTTTCTGGGGGAATGGGCTCGAGGCTCCAGCTGACTGCTGCCGTTGTTGCTGCTGCTCGGTGTCCCCTTGACGCTGAGTTTGCGGCTCAGCTCCGGGAGCTTCTTCATCCTCATGGAGATCTTCCTGACGGTGCGCGGGGACTTGATCTTGTCTGGGAAGGACCAGTTGATGGAGCTGCTCTTCTTGGTCGGGTTTGGGCTGGAGGGAGGCGAGAAGCCGACGGCGTTGGGCAGCTCGGCTCCATCTGCAGAGGAAATAACAAAGCAAGAGAAAGCTTGGTTAAAAGGGGAGGCCGGCGTGTTTTGAATTTTTGAATTTTCTCCGACACTTGGTTTCAGCAACTGTTCAGAAGATACAAAGGAGAAAAAAGACTGAAAAACCAAAAAGCCATAATTAACAGTCTCTTAGAAAAGCACTACACCTCCGCAGCACATCAAGCGATTAGATTTAAATGCAACCCAGAAATCCTCTGACAGATTTAACACTGAGCTTCACATAAACATTTCAGCACTATATAATAAAGTTACAGTCTATAGATGTAAGCCTAGACAGTCATTTGTCTAATTGACGGTTTTAAAGAAACAGAAACAAAATATTCAATCACCAGGAAGTTTCTACGAGGCCTTGAATGAACTTTATTCAGATTTTAGAGGAACGTCATTAGCTGCAGCTTCAGTAAAGACGATGGGAAACGTGTGGGTGGAGACATTAAACTTAACTCAGTGATTATTCAGGATGGGCTGGACCTTGAAGGCAGCTCTCGCCCAACTAGACGTCTACACCGTGAAATTTCAGGGTCTAGAACATGTTTAGTCTACTGTAGTGAAGTGGCAGCCACACTGACATGACACATTATCACTTCATGAAGTGGTTTAGGCCAATCTGTTCGCCACGGAGCAACGCTGACATTTGTTTAGAGCGGTGTTGATGGAAAGCAGGAAAACATTAAGTCCAACGTTTAGTTAGCTGAGTTTTGGTCTCCGTCTTCCACTGAGGTAAATGTTTGGTTTTTAGCTGCTTGAGCTCCACTATGATCTGCAGTTAGCAATGGACAGGTAGCATACAGAGTTTGTTGAGCATAGACTTTATATTAAGATGGATGATATGACAGTTCCCCAACAATGATGCCAAACCATCTCTATCACCCCCTGGTGGCTCTTATTGATTTTATGTCCAGATTTTTGCCAAACTCAAAACCCTGCTCTCAAATATCCCCTGCTTGTGCTTAGATTTGCTCTGCTTGCGCTCAAGCTGCGCGCTTGCACTCAGATGTTTAGCTGCTCGGACAAAGTTCATCCACCAATAGAACACCAGGTGTATTGTTGACAGATAAAGTTGTCCAGCCCTTTGTTGTGGGTGCATTAGCTTTACTTCTTTAGGACCTGGAGTGCATGAACCCGGTTAAAGAAACCGTTGGCACACGACTCTCAGACAGCGTTTGAATCCAGGACATTTTGTCCTTCTTTGTGGATAGTGGGAGGAAGTGGAGACGCGTAGTCTGTGAGTTAAAACAACTGGAAATGACTCTGATGAGAACAGTGAGTGAATCCAAAGAGTACAGCTGAGGGCAACAAAACCAAAACAATGAGCTGAAAGACACCAAAACAACCGTTGCATTGAATAATGGTTCTCAAAACTGTTTTCAGAGGCACACTGATCCATTGTTCGTATAAAAATACAAATTAGAGCCAGTGAATTATTGTCTGAACTGTTTCTTATCTGTGCAGCCTGTATGTCCACAGTCATATCACTGACAATAACAACAGATAACAATGCACCTTGCACATCGTTACTGTCCAGTCCCAGCAGCACAAACATGTACTTCACAGAATCACATCTACTACACTGTTAAAGAGCCCCATCACTCGACTAGACGAAATCCTTTCAGTCATTTTCTAGGTTGAAAAAAATCTGCCAGCCTCGATTTGAGTGATTTACATGGAATTTGTCAAATTCTGGGCATCCTGCTATTCTCCCAACAGGAGGCGTGGGCCTCTCTCAAACAGAAAAACATTCAGGGCTCTTTTAATAAGATTTCCTCTGTGGCTAACCTGTGCTTTATAATCTTTATTGGTAATACTTCACTGCGTGAGTTAATGGGAGATTAAGGCTCGACCACATGACTTAGTGGCAAGAATTTAACTTTTGAAGATCTGTTGCGTGAGTGCTTCCAGACCTGGCCTAGATATTACACAAGACACAGAGTCGAGGGGCTGAAGCGATATTAAGACACTCAATACTTTTATTGTGATGTAAATTTTTACTTGGATCCGCACTTCAAATGAAAATGCACTTATTGTTTTAACTGGCTAATTACTTTCTCTGAATAAATCTCAGAAATAAAGGGTGATTCTGACGGAGAGATAGAGAGAAGAGCGAGGGAGAGCACGACCCTGCCAACATCACCAGCTCTATTTTCAGAAGGGACCTGCTGTGCTATTCTGGGACGAGGGTCCGCGAGTGAAAAGGGAGGGAGGCCGAGGATGGAGAGAAGGGAAAGATGGGGGGCAGGAGCAGGGCAGGGTGTAGCCTGCAGATGGGGGACAAAGGCGCCCCTTGTCCAGGCTCTCAGAGGTCTGGATGGGCGACTGGAAGGCTGGCAAGCCGGCTGCTGAATGTACAAATGAACACGGCTGTTCTCTCACATTCCAAACCAAAACCATGTTTAGCCTCCTTTTTTCCCCTCGTAGCTGAATAACTTTCCCTGTCACAGCTTCCTGCCAATAATAGACACAGAGGCGCTCTGAGAAGAGGGGCGGAGGTGCACTGGAGGTGCAAATTCACCCGAACAACATCTGGGGAGGGGTCGGGTAAACAGGGAGGTGCTGCTCGGGTCTGAAAACAGAGAAATCACTTGTAGAGGAAACACAGTTCAACTATTTATTCTTATATAACCTGAAGCTCTCTGAAGAGTATCTACAAAACAAACTGCTCTGGAATGTGTTGAATATTTGATAGACATCTACTGAACAGTCTTTGGTGCACATGCTGTAAAATGCGTCACATTAAGTGAGTCTGGATGTGGTCGGATAGAAGATGCCGTTGTTGCCACCAATGTTTTTTCTACCTCTGCAAAAGATTTTCCACTGCCTCGGATTTTGTTTGATGACAAATAGATCATCAATCAGATCATTTCTTCAAGACAATCATGTGTAGGATTGTTCGGACTTGGTGGTGGTATGAGCTGTTGTGTTTATTTACAGTAATTAGACTCCTGATGAGGGAATATCTCAGCAAGTAAATATGATAAGTGTATGACCGATAATTGGATACCAACTTTTGGTTCTTCACACTTCTTAATACTTGATGTTACTTCACAAAGGTTCAACAGTCAGTTCTAACTCTAACATGTTTATATAATAGGAACATTTTTAATTTTAACCAAAATGCAAAATCTGACAACATGAAAAATCACAATAATTCAAATACAGTCTCCTTTTTATCAATATGAATAAATAAGAACGACCCATATTGATGCCTGTTTACTTCTCTTACCCTCAAACACAAACTGTAAAATCCTTCAACTGTGAGAATCCAAACAACTTCCACCAGAGTTTCATTTCTTTGAAAATCCACATGAACTGGGGCAACGTCCACCAGCTTCTGACAAAGTTAATGACTGTTGCATTGTTAATGACTGTGGCTTCAAACACACACACACACGGAGCAGTGTCTTCCACAGCCTTTGGCCTTGTGGCAGCAGCCATGAGAGTAACGTGACACCTCACTAGCTGAGGTTCAGGGGCGATGGTTTGACACCCAACCCTCCAGGGCCATGTTCCAGGGTCAAAGGGCAAAAGGTCCACATTCCTCTGGGTGACACCTGAGCTGAGCGACTGTGTCCAACCCCCAAACACTTTAACATGCACATGCACTCGGCATATTACTGTAGCGCAAAGAGAGAGTGCATGTAAATATGCAAACATAAAGACAAACACACACACACATGCCCTCGCTGACCCTGTGGCCCTCCTCAGGCATCCGGCCACTGACACCTCTTAACAAAGGTCAGGAATTTATGAGGAGGGTTTATCACAATGCTGGCACCAGACAGGTGCAGGACGAGAGAGAGTGTGTGTGTGAGTGTGTGAGAGTGTGT